GTACATATTCCGAAAGGGAGGGAGGTGAATTGGTAAGTCTTGGAGTCTACCATGAAGCCGGTATACTTTTTATCCGACCTCCTTAAGGGGATCTGCCAGTACGAATGCGATAAATCAATCTTTGATAAATATTTTTTCCCGCCAATTCTCGAAATTATATCATCAATTCTTAAGGACAACTCCCTATCCGGAATGATAAGGGTATTTAAATGACGCGCGTCAAGACAAACGCGGACTGAACCATCGCGCTTTACCGCTGTCATAAGTGGGGAAATATAAGGAGTAGTCGCCCGCTCTATGACCCCCCACTTCTCCATTTCGTTAATCATTTTTCGAACGGCGTCTCTATGAGCGATTGGTATCGGATAAGGACGGATGAAAAATTCTTCATGTTTTTTTAAATTTATACTGTGTTCATAAATTTTTGTTCTCCCCGGTATATTCGAGAAAGTATTCTTGAATTTTTCAAGTAAATTTGCAAAGAGCGTTTTCTCCTTTTCAGGTAACTGACACGAGGACAAGACAATTTTAAAACGTTCATCACTGGCATCATCAGTGGAAATTGAATTATTTGGGACGATCCCCTTATTAACCAAAGCAGAGATCGTTGGAGGTGAGTGCTCACTAAAATCGTGGTCATATATTTTTTCGGAAACAATAACAATTTTATTCTCTATTCTTAATGAAATATTTCTTTTTTTCAGGTCGATATTACATTCATATCGCCTTAGAAAATCTACTCCGATAATTACTGGAAATGATAGGCCGGAAATAACCAAGAATTCATGTGAAAATACTTGATTTTCTAGAAAGAATGTCGGCATGGTTTGCAAGGATACTTTTTTATACTTGGCCTTGAAGGCACCTACGACTCTAACTCCGGAGTTGCATGGAAAAGATGGAATTTCCTGTTGAAAATCCGCGAGTTGTGACCAGGTATCAGCTGAAAGGGCTGATACTGTGCTTCCACTATCGATTAGTGCGGGAAATTGTATTCCATAAAAATCTGCGATAACGACCGGGGACCGGTCTTCAGCCGGAATATGCTGAAAATCTCATTCCTCCAACAGGTCTTGCGTTGGGTTATTGTATGAGGCTCTATTTAACAAAGCCCTCACATTTGAGCCGAAAAGTGAGGGGTTTGGTCGTTTTCCGAATTATCGTTCCCATCGAAATCGAGTGTGGCAATACTTTTTTGTTTTGAATCAAAATTTGAATTATTATTTCCCCTCTGAAAATTTCTTGGATTTGAATTTCTGTTAAAATGATTTGTATCATTTTGATATCCACGATTTTTACGATCCGAATCAAAATAGTAGTCGGCCTGTCTGAGTCTTTCTACTGCAGAGATTAGGGTATTCGTCCCAACTAGTATCGAGGAAATATTCGGAGGAAAGTGCCTAGCTATAGTGGAAATTAGCATTTTCTGACTATATGGTGGTGATAAATGTCTAGCTCTGGCAACAAAGGAATTGAAATAATCTACGAAAGATCCACTTCCCTCTCTATATCTCCCTGATTCGAGTTGCAATTTTAATTGTAATTGTTTTTCTGGACCCCAAAATTGGTCCAAAAATGCGTTTCTGAACTCTGTATACGTGCTAAAAGTGTTAATAAACGCGTCAAACCAAGTTTTGGCGGATTTCTCAAACAAGTGATTTACCATCAGTGAAAATTCAACCATAGAAATTCTGTTAACATCAATATAACATTCAAGGTATTCCAAGAATTCGAGCGGATGCAGGTGGTTTACATTATCAAAACTAGGCAGCGCTTTACAACATTTCAAGGTATTTATGTCACCTAGCTCTCTAGTACCCTGGTTTACAATATTATTCGACCCTATTGGAAAAATATTGGTATTTGTAGTAGAAACGTACAATCGGTATTCACATGAGGGTAATTGTTGCTATTACCGTTTGCTGAAAAAACACACTTGAAAAGTTGGTGTTGCTAGGGTTACTATTTGAATTTGTTTGAAAAATATTGTTACATGTGCTAGTAGGCAAATGATATTGATTTCTACTTGTCGGAACACTTGTATAAGGTGGAAAAACCCCTAGGGGCGGGACATTGTTCCCCCCTATATGATTGTTACCACTATTTTCAAAAAAGTTAGGCCTAGGCTGATAATGATGATTTAAAATGGTATTATTTTCCCCAAAAGGATAATTTAAGTTGCCAGTCTGAGGGACTGTACCCTCGGTAGCACTTGATAAGGGTCTGTTGAATAAGCTAGTGCCTATATGCTTCTGGCCAAAATTCATTACAGGAGCTTGCTGCCTAGGGCCTAAATTAATTTCATTGATACCTAAATTGAGTTCATTCACATTTGTTGGTATTAGTGGTACATTATTAGAGTTCTGCATCTGATCGCTAGAGTTTGTAGGGTTGTCGTTTGAATTATTCAACGACTTTGATCTGCCAGCTGCACCTTCTACAGCCGCTGATGAAAATGCCGGAAATGCTGCCGGAGTATCCGTAGACAAAGGAATATTTGGAAAATTGTTACCTGATGTCACATGACGATTTTGTTGGTGAGGAATTGCGCCATTTTTTGACCCACTTAGCTGCCGATTTCTCAGGTTGTAGGAGGGACCAGATGGACCAGTTGGTGTCTTTTCTAAAACCATGATGACCTCAAACAAGCCCCACGTTGGGCGCCAAGATGCGGTGAAACGGGGTTCTCAGGGGGTTTGAAGAAAAAAGACCGGTTCTGTTTGAGGTACCCACACCAGGTTTAATTCACGATCCCTATACGTCCCCGGTGAATACAGAGCAAGGGGAAGTTTATAGTGGCACTATGCAATTCTGCAAACTAATAAATACTAGTTTCAGGACCAAGTCCGGCATAGCACAAACACGTGCTTCATATCAAAAAAGTAAGATTGATAACTCACCTAATAAATACAGGCACGATTGACAAATATACCGGGAATCCCGATAGTCGAATCTGGAACCACTCGCATTCACTAATTATACAGAGAATTTGCAGTGATGATTAATTATTCGGTTTCTAATTCATGACGCGCACTGATGGACAACCATTTGTTGAAAAAGACCAACACTCGAACAGATAATTCCAGAACAAGTCAAAGGTTTTTGCGAGGTTTTTTACCAACCTGGTAGGTGCGAGAGAAACAGCAAAATTAAAAAATAGTACCTGTCAACTTATTCGAGTTAGGCAACCATCCACGCATTTGGTTCTGCCGAGGGTTGCCTATGCCTGACAGATGATAAATAATATTTATAATATCAACAGAAAAGGAAAAGAGATCGACGACCGAGATGCCCTAACAGCTGATTGACTCGACAGGTGCGACGACCTTCTGCAATAAAAAGTGCGAATCGGTAAAAAACAATGAATTAGGGAAATCGCAAAATATACCCGGTGGACACGTAAACCATAATTATACGGTGGCTGAGGTAAGAGAGAGTTAACAATGTTGTTTTGCTACAAGCGTTTGAAAGTTTTGATTAGGAGTACGTTCATATAATATGAAGAAGCGTATATCATATCTTTGGAATTCGAAAAGGATATTGAAGGAAGAATAAATCTCAAAATCATCTACACGACATTCAATAGGTGAACAAAGTTATGTTGCAAAAGGGGGACATGTTTCGGGCTTATAATAAGCCCATCATCAGCCAAGGTTTATAACGTCGTCATGAGGATGAAAAATGTTCTTTAAAGTTGTTGAATATTATTGAATTCAAATGGTAAACACAGTAACATTATAATATAATAAAATAACAGTTATTTTTATTTTGAGAAGGGCATGTACCCTGCTCTAAGATACCCTCAGGAGGTTTTCATTGAGTGTTACTTGTTAATTAGTCAAAATAGTGATATTGAAAACTGATTACTTTGCATTGCACAGATTTTATAGTAATATCGATGGCAAAGTTTGCATGCTGAGCCAATTTATATAGTTTACCTCCCACAAGGGTTCATATTTTTTTCCTCCCGTGGGAGAAAATTGACAACTTTATTGTTTCCTCAAATGAGAGAGCAAAAGCCGACTTATTTCGATCCAGTGAGTAGATAGAATATTTTTTTGTCTAGAGGCCAATTATCTTCAAATATTTTCTCTACACCGTTGATAAACTCAGTTAAATTAGCTGTTTATGAAATACTCAATGTCAAAAAGCCGTGTAATTCGCCATATATCTACTATTTAGTAGATATACGGTAATTGCTCTTCAACTATATCCAACTGATGAGATCCAATAAACAGTATAATGCAATATAATAGAGACCATCATTTCCATTTTGAAAAAAATCTTAACGAATACAATTTGAAATAATGATTTGAACTATATTTAGAGCAAACTCAAGATATGATGTTCAATAAGAAGATATGAGGGCAAATGATATAGGAGAAACTATGAGCGTTATAATGAGGAAAAAGCCATTATAATGAGGGAAAAGTCATTGTAATGAGAAAGAAATCATTATAATGACTGTTCAAAGAATGGAAAGCTTGCGTGACATTTGCCTTCATTAAGAAAAAGATTCATTTAGGCCGAGTTAGGTAGATTGTTTAGAAAAAGTGATCTCACTTTTCATGCAAAAAGGATATTCTCCTTTCTTCTATCAAATAATTTCACTCATTAGATTTATTCGGGCTTACCTACCAATAATCATCATTATTGTTGGTTGTTTCGTTGCAATGATAAAACGTTTGTCATGCGCTGCGACTGAGCTGCGACGCTAGTCGCTTCTGTACTCGCACTGTAACGTTCCCTCACCACGCGGTTGTCCCTTCTGTGGGTTGTCCTTGTTGCGTCCTGTCTGGAAAGTCGTGGCGCTGAGATGTTTTTCCCGCGCTTTTCGTTTGCCAGTTGTCATTTTTGATTTTTATACTTACGTCAAAATCAAAAAGTCGGCAGATGGTGGATGGGCGCCTGGTTTTATTGTTGTTGATGTAGTTTGGTTTGGCTGTGGTTTAAAACTTAGCCAGTTTTTATCATTTGAACAGTGCTAATAAAAAACAAATATGGATTTGCCATACAAAGCTGAATACGCGAAAACTGGCAGAGCTTCATGCAAAGGGTGTAAAAGCCCAATAAGCCAAGGAGAACTGCGTATTGCTGTGCTGGTTCAGGTAATTCATGTTTTTGATTTATCTTGATTAATAGTTTGATGATCGATCTCAATATTCAAGTTGGTCATTGAATTTGTGTGGAAACTATATCAATCTGGGAACTTATTGACAATTGCATGTATGTTTACTGGTCCACCTAATTCACTGACCAAAATGAAAGTTTTCTGTTTTTATAAGATTTTCGAAAATTCATGCTAATAAACAATATATATAACTACTACCAGCCCAGTAGTAACTACTACCACCCTTATCATCCACATATCCCCCCGTCCAGAGGGTAGTTTCTTCTCCTGTTCTTGGAAAAACACTGAAAATAGGTTGAAATACATCTTACTTGCATCTCATGATAGTATTTAGATACTACCACTTGAGTAGTAGCTACTACCACGATCCAGACCCGTCCACCCCCCACTGCAGAGGGTAGTTTATTCTTGGGAATTTAAAAAAAACACTGGAAAATAGGTGGACACACATGACTTACTTGACCAGTGTGAAGCCAGCAAGATGTCTGCACCAGCAAGAAAAAAGATCATAAAAAGCAGGCCCCACAGAATAAATACATGGAATGTTAGGAATTTATTCTAAATTAGTACAGGAGTGATTTTTCATCAGAAAAAATGCCCAACTATTACTCAAGATGAAGAATAGGCATTATTGAAGGTTTGGAATTTCAATCAGAAAGAAAATGATTTTCGTTTTTCATTGCTGTGTATCTGTCATTTTGGAAAAGAAAAATGTCTAGCTATGGAGTTTTGTTCTCAAAAAACACATGACCTTGATGGAAGAAGAGATTCATCATGTCTACTAATTTTGTCTCATCCATTCTTCCCCAATTTCAGAAATCTATCATTTTCATAAAGAAAAAATGTCTTACTATGAATTTTTATCAAAAAACACGAATCCTAGACAAAAGAAGAGATTCATCATGTTAACTGATTTTGTGGAAAACATAGACGATTTCCATACTGATTTTGTTGCATCCGTTTCACCCTTATTTCACCTTGATAATGTCCAAAAAATGAACTCTGTCATTTTCATGAGGAAAAAATGTTTCACTATGGATATTTTTATCAAAAACACATGGATTTTTTTATCAAAAACACATAATGTAGAGGAAAGTAGAGATTGTTTTATTATGTCTGCTGATTTTGTCTCATCCATTTCACCCCTATTTCACCCCAATAATGGATAAAAAATCAGAAATCTGTCATTGTGAAAAACAAAAAATGTCTTGCTATGGTTTTTTTCATCATAAATCACAGAGATGAGAATCATTATGTCTGCTGATTTTGTCGCATTCATTTCACCCCTTTTTCACTCCTATAATAAGAAATCTGTCATTTTCATGAATAAAAAATTTCTTGCTATGGATTTTGTTGTCAAAAAATACATAAGGTAGTTGAAAGAAGAGATTCATCATGTCTACTGATTTTGTTGCATCCATTTCACCCCTATTTCACCCCGATAATGGCTAAAACATCAGAAATCTGTCATTTTGAAAATGAAAAAAGGTCTTGGTATGGATTTTTTTGTCAAAAACCACATAATGTAAGCGAAAGAAGAGAATCATTATGTCTGCTGATTTTGTGCATCCATTTCACCCCAATAATGGCTAAAAATCAGAAATCTGTCATTTACCAAACAACTTTTTGAACGACCCTTCCCTAAAATCTTCCATATTTTTAGAACCCACAAATGAAAAAGAATTGATTATGTTAATCTCCAACCTTAAAAATAACTGTGCCCCCGGCTTGGATGGACTAAATACAAAGTTAATAAAACATATGCACACATATATCACCAAACATCTAGTACATATCCTCAATAATTGTTTCAAAACTGGAACCATACCTCATCAGTGGAAACTATCTACAGTAACACCCATTTTCAAAACAGGAGACTCAACGCAAATGAATGAATAATTACCGACCTATATGTGTTATAAATAATTTTTTGAAGATTTTTGAACAAGCTGTAAAAAAAGATTCATTAGATTTTTCAACAGGCATCATGTGATAACGGATAGTCAGTATGGATTCCTACAGAAATCTTCTACTGAAAATGCAATATTAGATTTTACCAATATCACTATGAAATCTATGGATAAATCTTCTAAATGCAAAAGCATTCCACACCATATCACATGATGCTTTGTTGAACAAATTATATAAATATGGCATATGAGGAATAGCATTGAGTAAAAGAAAAATGTCTTGCTATGGATAGAAGAAGAAGAAGAAAATAAACTTTATTGGACATAAAATAAAAAAATACATTATGCCAAATGGCTAACGACCAAAGTCTTCCTGCCAGTATATACTAAATCATTTTATGTATTTCAAATGCATTATTTAAACAGTGATTTTTACAAGGTGAATTATGAAAAAAAAAAAAACATTATTATTCTATCTGTTGGTATTTTGTCTGGAGAGTGAATCATATAGGCTGAATTCAGGAAATTTGCGTTTGATGGGAGTAAGGGGATTGGTTTGGTGAATGAGGGGCTGTATAAGGGTGATGTTTTCTTGTTTGTTTGCAAATTTTTTGGTCAGTCTGGTAATTCGGGTGAGGATAGGTTCTATTTTAGTTTTTTGGTATAGGAGAATGTTGGAAGGGTTGTGAAGAGGATTTGCAGGGTGCCTTATTTTGGTAATAGTTCTTAGACAGCTTCTCTCCGCCACTTCCAAGTTCCGCTGAGTTGGTTTCCTGCAGTTATTTAGAATAACATGTCCGTATTCCAGAACAGGTCGGCAGATCATTTTATATATTTTGCAAGCTGTAGCTGTATTTATTCCTTGATTTTGGTATGTCAAGGCTCTGAAATGTTTTGATCTTTTCATTGCTTCCTTTTTTGTCCTTTTCGTATGGACTTCAAAGTTCAATTTGCTGTCTATAGTCATGCCAAGATATTTGCAGGTTGGTACTGTTTGTAGCTGTTGATTCTGCAAGGTTATTTCTGGAGAAGTGTTCTTGATCCTATGATGGAATTTCATCAATTGGGATTTGGTTGGATTTGGTATAATTCGCCATTTTTGCATCCATTGCGTGGTGCTGGTTGTCAATTGTTGCAGTGTTCTCATAGTTTTTTGTAATGTCTTACCATGTGCTACCAGTGTCGTATCATCAGCAAATTGAAGTAGATATGCTTCTGGATTAATGTGGTTTGGGTTTTGTAGGTTGTGGTTGTATATGTCAGAACAATAAATATTATACAATATCCGTGACAGGGGTGAACCTTGTGGTAATCCTTGTTCTGGTGTAAAACTATCGGATAAGCTGCTTTTGAAATTGACTTGGAGGGTCCGCTCGTTGAGGAAATTTTTAAGAATCCAAAGAATATACAGGGGGCAGCTATGGATATTTTCTGTCAAAAAACAAGTAACCTAGACGAAAGAAGAGACTCATGATGTCCACTGATTCTGTCGCATCCATTCCACCCCTATTTCACCCCGACAATGGCAAAAAACTGAAGTTTTTCATTCTGATGCTGCCACAGTATGGTAATCTCGGATCATGGCCAGAGTGCCATTCTGTTATTTTTCAAGTTAGAATTTTTCCATTTGGATAGAAGTATAATTTCTTGGAACCCAAACTGTCCATGGAAACACAATTGGGTGTCACTTCCGGTTTTACCGGAAATAGATCTTGGTCGACAATATTAAAAGGATATCTGTAGATATTTCAACGCCATTCCATTAAGTGAAGAGTTCCTTTTTCATTGACAAATCATTAGTAGATATTTGTTTTCAAAACGACAGCAAAGGTGACCTTTTTTTCTAAATAGTAGGTCAATGATTCCATTCCATTCACACCAGGCATATACAGAACATAGACACAATACTGTCTGTATGTTCTTCAAGGAGGTAACATTTTCATTTTTTGTGATTTTTTTTTGGATTTTCTCTCCTGGTCTCTGAAAAATCTATATATAATCAGGATATCTATAAGAAGGAAAGTGTTCAATGTGATCCCAAGATGTCACTGCCTATGAAATTTAAGTTTCAGGAACTTCTGGAAGAGAAATTGATCGATAGACGTTTCGGGAACGGATCTGTTCCCGTTTTCAATACAAATTGGTTTAAAAATCTTGCAATATCTGTTTTGTTGACATGTGATATCCACTGACACTTCATAGTGACAATCCCAAAATGGATGCCACAAAATCAGTAGAGATAATGATTCTCTTGTTTCGTTTACGTTACGTCTTTTTCGGCAAAAAAAATCCATAGCAAGACATTTTTTCCTTTTTCAAAATGACAGATTTCTGATTTTTCAGCCATTATCGGGGTGAAATAGGGTTGAAATGAATGCGACAAAAGCAGTGGACATGATGAATATCTTCTTTCGTTTTCGGTTAGTGGTTTTTGACAAAAAAAAATCCATAGCAAGACATTTTTTCCTTATGAAAATGACAGAATTTTGATTTTTTAGCCATTACCTGGGTGAAATAGGGATGAAATGGATGCGACAAAATCAGCAGACATAATGATTGTCTTTTTCGTCTACGTTACGTGTTTTTCGTCAAAAAAAATCCATAGCAAGGCATTTCTTCTTTTTCAAAATGACAGATTTCTGATTTTTTAGCCGTTATCGGGGACAAAATCAGCAGACTCAATGATCTCTTCTTTCGTCTACGTTACGTGTTTTTCGATAAAAAAAAATCCATAGCAAGACATTTTTTGCTACTGATTGGATGCGACAAAATCGGTTGGAGATTGGATTCTTTTTGGGAAACTTCAATGTTAGCTTTTTCAGTCTCTCAGAAATTGGTTGCACCCTGGTCAGCTGATATAGAAGTTCGTTTGATGGATGGTGAAGGGGATTTTGAGGGTGCCGGATTTTGGTAATGGCTCTCAGGCTAGCTCTTTCTGCTACTTCCAAATTGTTCAGTGCCGTCTTCCTCGTGTTTATGTATATTGGGTGGGCATACTCAAGAATTGGGCGGCATTTAAAAAAAAAAGTAGAAAATACAAAATATCTAGGGCTAATTGTTGACGACAAACTCAACTGGCAAGCACACATAGAACACATGACAAATAAAATTGTTCCGATGATAGGTGCCCTGTATAGATGTCGTGATTACCTAAACAACCATAATAAGCTGATGATCTATAATAGTTATTTCCTCTCAATATTTCGATACTTAATAACGAACTGGGGAGTTTGCTCTAATACAATGATGAAAAAAGTCAAAACATTACAAAACAAAGTAGTAAAGGTACTGTTTGATTTTGATTATAAAACAAATACCAATACATTATATAGTGTCACTGGAATATTACCACTCGATAAAATTCTACTTATTGAACAATGCATATATATATATATATATATAAAGTCTCGAAGAATCAGCAAAAAAGTAATACACCAATGAATTTAGTAAACCAAGTTCACAATCACTACCAGGGCAAACAATCAAATATATCTAACACAAGTAAAAACTAATGTGGCACTGAATGACCCAATATCCAAATGTATTCAAACTGATGATACTATACCAAATTTCATCAAAAACAAAGATAGTTATGCATCGTTCAAAAGAGAAGTAATGATTTATATGAATGCAATCAATACTTAGTATGTATTTTGTGTTTTTTGTTATGTTTTTATTTTTGTTAGGTTAAATATGCTTCAAGACTATACCCAAATATAAAATGTGCATTTTTCTTTGATGTTAACTTGATTACTTGTTTATTCATCATTAAGTTTAAGTTCCATCACCAGCATTATTGCTGATTTGGAATAAAAAATACTATGAATTGTTATAGTTGTATGTTTATTTGTTCAATAAAGTATTTTTTTCTGAAAAAAAATAATTTAGAACCACCAATAAATTGAACTTGGCATCTCTACGAACCCTTCATCTCCTAACCTTCGTACTCAAAATTCTGAAAACTAATCGTCCGTCATATCTGAGGAAAAATTGACTCAATTTGAAAATATTAATAACATCCCTACAAGAAATAGACGTGTCCTAGTTGTCCCACAACACTCCTCTGCTATTTTCAAGCGCAGCTTCTTCTATAATACCACAAAATTTTATAATTCATTACCTACACATTTCAAAGATTGTTCCATTTTAAACTTCAAAAAAAACTCAAAATTTCTCTTCTTGAAGCCATGTTTCTTCAGTGACGCCCACAGCATTTGTTTATGGTAATCAAGTCAGAGTTCTCTCTTTCATTGGATTGTATATGTATATGTGTGTGTTTATGTGTTTGATACGCATGTGTATATTATAAGTGTATATATACATTTTTGTTGATGAATATCATCTATGATTTAGCTTTGAGACAATATGTTTATATGTGATGGAAATAATTGAAACGAAATTTTTTTAATGCTCATATTATACTGTACACATTATAGTAACTATTAGATTTGGGTAGGACTAGTTTTAAGTTGGACTCTACTACTTTTCTCATTTTGTTTTCTACTCACTTTCTCATATGTACCTATATTATCTTTTTTTTATATTCACATATTTTTAAGGCAAAGTTGAAAAACACTGTAAAGTGACACCTCGCCCTTTCATTCCTATGAATAAAGCCGTTTATTATTATTATTATTAAATGGTTTTGTAAATATGTGCTGCAGTTCTTTTGCTAATTCCTTTATTCTTGTAGGTTAGGCTTCGAAAATGTCTAGCTCTTGTGATGCACTTTTTTTTCATCAACTGGGTATGATAGTTAAAGTTTAATTTTTGATCTAAGTGCACTCCCAGATATTTAACTAATGCCCTAGTTCTCACTACGTGATTGTTCACAGTTACCGTGGGTGAATCATCTGTATGTTTCAAAATCCACAAGAATAAACTTTTTTTATGTTCTGATTCCCACGAAGAGGGAACATCGTGGGAACCAAGGGAAATAAGGTAGGAATTGGTGTTCTGCTTAAAGGACCCCGCACTTTTTCTATATAAAAATGGCGTTCTGTCGAATTCTCTGAATTTCTGGTATATTATAGAACTCGACCTAATGATCAAATATGCCGAGTTCCAATCCGATCCTATGACCAGTTTTTGAGATACAGAGTGTTGAAGTTGAGAAATGCCCCCTTTTCATCTACCCATATCCAAGAAAAGACAAATGGTATAAAAGTTCAAATTGTGGTGTTTTGGTAAGCTATAAACTTGTTTATCACCAGCTAGAGTATATATGATCCATGGTGAAGTGGACACCCTGTATACTGTATATAAGGAGCTGAAAATTCATCATATCATTCAGGTATCATTACTCAGAATATTAATGAGAAAAAAATCTGACCTTGACGGTGAAAAACTAGAATCAGAGGGTGATGGAAGAAACAGTGGTTTTTTAAATATTTTTTTGTAGTTGGCAATTTTTTCAATCAATAAATCACTCTGTTTAAAATGAAATGCATCATAATGTGTCCTCAAAAATTATAATCAATAGTCTAAATCAACCCAATAATACGAGGTGGCTCATTAAACTTTATTTTCTAAACATCAGCATTCACGAACACCATGTATAATCAATACATATAATGAATCCATTTCATGTAAGAAGAACATATCGAATGATAATTTTGATTTTTTAATTTTTATCAAGTTGTAGTATCGATATTTAAAAATTGAAAATAACACAATAATTCAGATGTGAATCACCCTGTGATAAAGATCAGCTTTGGTTGCTTCTGTACATGGTTCTTCTACCAGAAGGTTAAACTGAAAAACTGCTAGCAGAAAATTCTGATTCATTTGTCTTTTCTTGGAGGAATGGGTAGATGGAAGGGGGCATTTCTCAACTTCAACATCCTGTATCTCAAAAACTGGTTGTAGGATCGGATTAGGACTGGCATATTTGATCATCAGGTCGAGTTCAATAATATACCAGAAATTCAGGAAATTTGACAGAACGCCATTTTTATATAGAAAAAGTGCGGGGTCATTTCTGGAGAATAATAATAATAATAAACTACCCTCTGCACTGGGGTGGGCGGGTGTGGAAGGTGGTAGTGGCTACTACTCGAGTGGTAGTATCTAGATACTATCATGAAATGCAAGTAAGATATGTGTTTCTACCTATTTTCAGTGTTTTTTTTTCAAAAACAAGAATAAACTACCCTCTGGACGGGTGATATGTGGATGATAGGTTGTTAGTAGTTACTACTGGTCTGGTAGTAGTTGTATATCTTGTTTAATAGCATTGAATCTTCGAAAATCTTATTGAAACGGAAAATTTCTACTTTGGTCAGTAAACTAGAATTTCCCAACTTTTACAATATATTATTTGATTTCAAGTCTGGTTTCCATGATGGCAAGGATGCAAAATGGTATCATTTTGAATGTTTCTTCAAAAAACAGAGACCTAAAACGACCGATGACATAGACCATTTCGAATCTTTGAGAATAGAAGATCAAGATAGAATAAGATCTCGGGTAGGTGTTGCTACAACAGCTATTGTACCAGACAAAAAAGGTAAAAAAAGAGCAGCAGACCCATCTCTCAAGCTGAAGCAGCAAGCTCTCCAAGATTTTGAGGTACAATATTCCAAGTCTGGTCGAGCTATGTGTCAAGGCTGTGAAATTAAGATACTGAAAGATGAAGTTAGAATCTCCAAGAAAGATTTTGATACTGAAATAGGCCGCAAATATGGGGGCCAGCCAATGTGGCACCATGTAAATTGCTTTGCACAAGTCAGGAGCAGTCTTGGATTCTACGAGTGTGGTGATAAACTACCAGGGTTCAAAACATTATCACCAGATGACCAAAAAAACGTCAAGGCAAAAATTCCGTGAGAACTCAATCAAGCATTCAATTATTTTTATTTTTTCTTACTGATTTAAGGGCTATCAAGCAAGAAGACATTCCACCAGAGGTGAAGAAAATAAAAACAGGGGATGAAGTTGATGGGGCATTGAAAGAAGACGAATATAGGGTGCAAACTAAATTGATGTTCAATTATAGAGATCAACTTGATGTACAACTGAGGAATGATGAACTGAAAGAATTGATTCTCTTCAATAAACAGGATATACCAAGTCCAGCCAGCAAAGAAAATGTGAGTGCTATAGTACCTAATGATGATGGTAATACCAACTAATTAGAGATGTTCTGAACTGTTAGCCAGAATTACAATTCCTTAGAAAAGCTGATGGCTTGATCATTATATTTACATGGTAAACCATATAATTCTTTCAGCCTTCACTTTTCGACATCCTGTGGCAAAACTGAGGGTATAAACTTAGCTTCATTATGTTTCAATCACATCTATATCTTATTCTACTCACATAACTAAAGTAAAATTTAGCATGTGAAAATGTTCCACAATAAGATTAATCACATGGGCTATCTGTGGTTTATTCAAAAAATTAAACAGGATACCATGGCTACACAATTTCTTGAACAAATTTTGTTGCAATAGATGACAATCAGAATTATTCAAACTTATGTTTATATCAGAATTCTTCATTAAAAAGGTATGCTAGTATTAAGTATCATGTTGTCAATGGTGGACTTTGCTCCAAATTGTCAACCCGAAAACGTCTACCACTCTAGAAGCAATATTCTGGAAGTTTGAAAACCCAAATAGCTTTATTTTGATGAAATGTGATTGTAAGAGTCTACTCAGCTTTCTAATGAATGTTATTTCAGAAGAACAATTAGTTTCTGCAAACTTCACATGTGACATCACATCTGACTGGTTGAAGAGGTCAATGCTGAAATGTCAATACTATCAGTAGTATAAAAAATGGTATATCAATAAATCACTAAATCGGTGAGTTCCAATCACCTTCGAATGTTGAATGATGATTAAGAAATGCTAGTCTCTCATGAGAACTCCTCGTAATGGTAATCAACATAACATTGTTATTTGGCTTTATATTTATTGTTGTTCATTTTAATTTCCTGGCCCATAATATGAAAATTGGCAACATGGCAATCGTCGCTGATGTTGAACAAGAACTGCAACGCCTAAGAAAAATTGATTTAATACGTATTATAATCAACCGAGATGTCCCAAATGACATTAATCTAAGTGAAAGTGTATCTAGTTTTATAGCAGTGAAATACAAACATGAGTTTTCTTCTGCCGCCAGTGATATCTCGCCGAATAACGATGGTGAAAACATTAAGGTTATGTCCTTAAGGTGCGACCTGAAAGTGGCAAGAATTGAAGTTGAGTCATCAAAAAGGCTTGTAAGTGAATTGGAAAGAACAGTTGGCTATCAACAGCGTGTTATTGAACTGTTAGATGCAAAAACGATGAAATATCCAAACACAAACAAGGAATGCGCTGTTGCAAGCTCCCTTTCGAAATCTCAGATCCCAGATGACTCGCAATCATCGAGTAAAAAGTTTTCCGAGGATGATATTGATCCAAAAAATCATTGTATGCCTAATCTCGATACCAAATCGAAAAAAAATGGAGGTAGGACCTCAGTGATAGACAAGAAGGAAGTGAATTCTGCTATACTCCTAACTGAGACTCAGTCCACCCTCAACCATTACATAAATCTGACTGATGACAAATCCAAACAACATGATACCATCATGGAAAAGCAAGGGGAATGGCAAACTGTACATCCCAAAAAGAATAGAAAGAGAAAAAATCTTATTGTTGGAGAGAACACCGAAAAAATCAAAGGTGTTCCTAAGTTTACTTATCTGCACGTATGTAGAGTGGATCCAGCTACAACATCCCAAGATTTAATATGTCAGCTTAAAACAGTGTTTCCTGAAGTTACATGTGAATCATTGAATTCAAAACATCCCACAATATATTCATCTTTCAAGGTTGGTTTGTATGAAAAAAATTTTAAAACTGCCATGAACCCAAAGCTGTGGCCAAATGGTTCTTATATAAGTAATTTTTTGTATTCACGCCAAAAACCAAATACGAACTCTTGATAGACCCATACCTATTATTGTTAAATATGAACACTATCAATTTTAACAAAGTCAACATCTTGCAGACCGAAATTAATCTCTTTTCCAACCTATTGTTTTTATGCATCACAGAGATTGGAGTGACGGAAGCTCTGCTGGACAATATAGTATTTTCAGGCTTTATTTTGAAAAGTTTTTATAGTAGACCTAATAAAAAATGTGGTGGCGTGGCAATATGGGCACGACATGACATCGATGTAAAAGTATTAAATCTAGGGAAGTATTGCATTGAACAGCATTTCGAGATTTGTGGCATCTCCTATAAAGTGAATAAGCACAAACATATCATAATTAATTGTTATAGATCTCCCTGCGGGGACACAAACATATTTTTAAAAAATATTCGTGATATATTAGATTTACTCTACAAACCTGGCATAACTTTTCTTGTCTGTGGTGATTTTAACCTTGATCTTTTTACCAATGTTCATTTTAAATCGTTGTATACTGTAATGTCCTGCTTCAATCTACGTCCATTGGTGGGTTGGCCCACAAGAATCACAAGCACGAGCTGCACCTCTATAGATCAGATATTCTCAAATTGTGTTCCTGAAGAAACTTGCTACGTTCTCGATAATGAAATATCAGATCACCGCACGATTTTATTAGAATGGCAAGACTCGAATTCAAAACCTAGAACTGAAACTAAAACAGAAATTATAGGAGATGTTTCAATGAACAGAATCTTGAAAAATTCGAAATTATCTTACAAAAGGAAGATTGGTCAAGCATTTATGAACAAGATAATAATGACATAGCCTTCACAAATTTCTATGATATATTTCTTCATAATTTTGAAATCTGTTTTCCCAAAAGGAAAGTACGATTAGGTGCCAGAGAAAATAAGTGGATCGACGACACAATACTCAATTCAAGTTCTTCATTGAAACATCTCTTCTACCTGAAGAAGGATAATCCTGCTCTAGCTGAAACATATTCTTACGAGAAGAAAAAGCAAACAAAACTGGTCAAGGAATCAAAAATAGTTATTTATTATACAAGGGAAAAAAGTTGTAGATTTTAGCTCCAGGTTGTGTTGTCTCCCGACGCGTAGCGGAGGGAGACAAAAAACCGTGAGCTAAAATCTAATATTTTTCCCGTGTATAATACACTATTTTTTTCTGTGACAGAAGGAAGGACAAGTCAATATTGAGAAAATGTTACATTATTTTGAAATCTGAAAATTATCGACGTGAAATTTTAAGTTTTTAACAGTAGGGACACCTGCGTTCTATAGGCATCTTTATCATTCTTTTGAAGTAATCAAATATTTGATGTCACTTCTGTCAGTCTAATTCTGTGATTTGATTTCAAAAAATTGCGAATTTAGTGGTTGTTTAGTAATACACGTAACCGCGAAGTCGAATCAAAGATAAGGACTTGCAGTTTTTTCTGGGAGACGGTATTATTGACTCATTTTTCGGAACTATAGCACAACAAAAGCCATCAACAGTGTATATATATGTGATATATATCCGGGAAAAAAGTACTTACTTTTTGCCCACGGGAAAAAAGTAATTTATGAAAAGTGACATTTTATAACCTGCCAACAGAGATGAAATGCCAAACTTTTTTCCCGTCACAGAAAAAAGAAATATTACCAACATAAGATAAATACATCTGAAAACAACTCACGAACATTGTGGAACATAGTAACTGAACTTTCGAATGGAAGCAATACTTCACATGGGAACCTAGTAATCGAAAAGAATAATACTCACATTAGTGAGCCCACTCTTATTGTAAATGAATTCAATGATTTTTTTATTGAAGCACCCAAGGCACTGTCACGTAATATATCAAAAGACTGCTACTCGAATGATCCTAGGAATGAAAGCACGGAGTTAAATCACCATACTTTGTTCCTGAATCCTTTCAGTGATACAGAATTACTTAACTTGATAACACGCAAAATGAAGAACAAGAGATCCTCAGGAGTTGACGAGATACCTGTTTTTATAGTGAAGAGAGTTCTACACATAATCATTGAACCAATTACTTTCCTAGTGAATTTTTCATTTTTAACTGGCACTTTCCCAGAATCCTTAAAGGTGGGAAAGGTTACTCCCATTCAAAAAAAATCAAAAATATTTACAATCGATAATTTCAGGCCAGTAACCGTACCTCCAAGTTTTTCAAAAATCTTCGAGTACGCATTTTTAGAACGCCTATTGAATTTCATTGATTTGCATAATATTCTGATACCTATGCAGCACGGTTTTCGCTCTGGAAAATCAACACAAACGGCCATTCTCAATTTTTTCATTAATCTGATGGATTTTATTGAAACAGGTGAATGCCCTGCTGCGATCTTGTGTGATCTGAGCAGGGCATTCGACTGTGTCAATCACTCTAAACTTCTAAATTATTTGGAGAGATATGGTCTTAGGGGAAAGGCACTAAACTGGGTTTCTTCGTTTCTTACTGATCGATATCAATGTGTATCTCTCAAATTCGATAACGGTAATACACTATCTTCCTGTACATCTGAAGTGAAGCTGGTTCAGATGGGAGTGCCACAGGGATCCATCTTGGGACCAATTTTGTTTATTTTGTATATTAATAATATTGATAAAGAAATAACATATCCTTTGTTTACCGCCTATGCGGATGATATTAGCTTTCTGGTATCAACTAAAGACACTCATTCATTATCTGATAAATGTGAGGAAATCTTGTCTTCAGCCACCAGATATTTCAATACACATGATCTATTTTTCAATGCCGGGAAAACACAGGTGATTCGTTTCCATAATTATCAAAATAAAGTTGATGCACTCCAACTAAATGTTAATGATAGCATTGTAAGCACCTGCTGCAAAGTGAAATTTCTGGGAATTTATATGGACGAGTTTTTGAATTGGAACACACATTGTGAACAGTTAGTCTCTAAGCTGAGCTCAATAATTTATATGTTCAAAAACTTAAACACTGTTTTAGATTCGAATCAATTGATACGCATATATTATGCCCAAGTAGAAGCTAGGTTACGTTACGGTGTTTGTTTGTGGGGCAACTCATCAATGGGCAACAATGTTTTTATTAAACAAAAAGTCATTTTAAGGTGCATATTTAAAACTCCTAAACGCAGCTCATGCAGGCCACTATTTCATGATCATGAAATTTTAACTCTTATCGGCCTATTCATTTATGAATTGTCAATATACATATATATCAACAGAAACGACTTCACACTCAACAGTGATATACATAAAATTAATACTCGTCAAAAACATTTCATTCACACAAAAATGGCTAAGTATAAAATCAGTCAAAACTCTCCAAATTTCATTGGGCCAAAAATATTCAATCGTCTACCAGAAGAAATAAAATCCAAAAATGACCTTAAAACATTCAAAAGGAGTCTCAAGTCCTTTCTGCTTGATAAATGTTTTTATACACTTGACGAGTTTTTATATGATCAAAAGTAAATTCACAGAACTAACTGTATCTTACTCCTTATAGTTTCTTTGGTATAGTTTTTATCTTTCATTGTGTCTTATATGTTTGTTTTTCGTCCCCTAGCATTAAGTTTTTCTTGACAATTCCTATACAAATCTGTAATTTGTCATTTGAAGGAAATAAACTGATCTATCTATCTATCTATCTATGTCATGAATATTGTGATGTTTGAATAGTCTTGTGATTTGAGGTACCCTCAAACTATCTGTATCTAATTATTTAAATGAAGGTATGTTATTTTGATATTGTTGCATTCCGACATTTTTGATATGTATCTCTATTATTGGAAACTGGGGTGAGCTTCAAAAATATTTATTGAATATTTCTTTTTCCTATTTTTGTTCTTAACTTGGAAAATGCTTATCATTACATAGGTATGTCAGGGCGTTTATTCAATAATAATAATAATATAGCCAAGTAAAAAAACTAGACCTTTAAAGGGCTGTAAAAACAAACGGTCGTCACATAATATAGTTTAAAATCATTACAAAAAGGTATAGTAAGAATAGAAACATAAAAATAGATAAAATAAATGACTAACCAATTTATTCTAACTTTGCCTCAAGGTAATCACTTATGGAGTAGGGTTCCAGGTTCATTAGAAGTTTCCATATTTATTTTTTTTAAACGTTTGGAGAGGAAAGATACTTAATTCTTTCTGGTAACTTGTTGAAAAATTTGATTGAATCATGTTGAGCATTATTTTCTGTTACTGCCAATTTATGTGCAGGGTAATTATAATTTATGTTTCTAGTGATAAAAATTGCCGATTCTTAGTTAAAAACAAGAGACATTCCTATCCCTATTTATGACTAGCTGTCTGGCCTGGCTTTGCATGGTTGGTGTACCCATTTAAAAAAATTAGACATTTGTCGCACTCATTCTCAGTTATCCAGTCCATATTTTTTGTTATTCTTTTAATTATTTGTGCTTACCTATAGCTATTGTTGTATACTTACACCTTTTTTCATTCTCTAAGTATTTTTTGTATTTTTTTTGTTATTTTACTTGTCCTTGACGTACCAACAGCAGCGTCATCTACCGCGTCCAATTGTATTTTGAAATCATCCAGTAAATCATCGAAATACCCATATAACATTTTAACCCAATTGTTTCAGCCGTTTAGAAGTTATGTGAAAAAGATAAGTACAGAAGGATAATTCTTACTACCCGTTGTCCTATTACCCCTGTAGGAATTGAGCATTTTCCAGCGGTAATAAATTAAAAGTAAAAAAAAACTTCTTGATAGAAAGCTAGTTGAAATTATTAAAAAAATATATTTTCTTCTTTTCAAAGCGTTCAAATAGAAGCTTTTCATTAAAAAGTTTTTTTTAAATTTTAATTTATTTTTTAATTTTTTGTTATCGCTAGCTGGATTTTTCGAT